GGAGCCAAGGCTGAAGGTGTAACCCTGTGACGACCGCTGCGTAGCCTGGTCGTCAGCCCAAGAAGCGTCTACGTGACCTGTGAGGACCACTGGACGTCGCCCTCCAAGCACTAGCCCCATTCCCGACGTACTGCACAAGTAGCGCAACACCCTCTTCGCTGCAGCCATGTGCTCTGGTCGGTGTCTCCCAAGAGCAACATAGCGTGCCAAGATGCTAAGAGGGTATGCTAGGTCAGGTCGTGTGCAGGTCATCATGTACATAAGGCAGCCAACAAGCTCTGCATACGGGCCACTCGGCTATACGAACTCATCCGAAGGCTGAGCTGAGAGCGAGTGGCGAGTAGACAGAGGAGTGGCCTGAGGCGAGGAGTACGTGAAGTCGAAGCGCTGAAGGACCTACTGCACCATGTGTGACTGAGTCAGGGTAATGATGCGTTGTGCTCTGTTCCGGGTGATCTGCAGGCCAAGGTAGCTGCGCATTTCACCCAGGTCTGTGCACGTGTGTCTCTTCTGCAGCTCGGACTTCACGTGGGCGAGTCCAGCAGTGTCAGATGTGGCAAAGACCAAGTCGTCGACGTACACAAGGATGTAGAACGGCGACAAAGAGGTGTCGGTGCGCAGAAGCAGCGACGGGTCGGCAGTAGAAGGAGCAAACTCAAGAGCCGCAAGTGTAGTCCTCAGTGTGTCGTGCCACTATCGGGGCACCTGGCGGAGACCGTAGACTGGCCGCCGGTGGCTCCACTGGGTACCAGGAGGAAACGACCCAGTGAAGCCAGGTGGGCGGCGCAGCCAGATCTCCTTGTGCAGGGTGCCCTGCAAGAAAGCTGTGCTGAAGTCAAGAGAGTGAAGCTCGTAGTCGCGCTGAGCGGCTATGTGCAGCAGCACCCAAAGAGTGGTCATCTTTGGGGTGGGGGAGAAGGTCAGAAAGTAGTCAACTCCCTACCGCTGACTGAAGCCTCGAGCCACGTAACGCGCCTTGAAGACAGGCGGAGAACCCGGCGGCCGCTTCACCCTGAAGATCCACATGCCACTGACGATGTTCGCCCCAGGTGGGGGAACCTCGTCGATGTAGGTGCCTGTGGACTTCCAGGAAGCCATCTCTGCGTCCATTGATGACTGCCAATGAGAGGAGTAGGGACCCTTGATCGCCTCAGCGTACGATCGAGGAGTCGGGATGTCAGGTGCATCCGGGTCTCCCTCAGGGGCAATCAGCATGGACACGAGATGAGGCAAAGCAGCAGCAAAACACTGGAACTCCTCCTGCCTGCCCTCAAGGACGTCCGTGCTAAGAGCACACTCACCCCCGACGGACGGAGGATAGACAGACTCAGACTCAGCGACAAGACTAGCAGCGTAGTCAAGACGACAGCAAGCAGCAAAGTCAACGAGCGCAGCAACCAAAGGAGACGCAGCAGTGGACTCAAAAGAAGGGTCAGTGACAACAGTAGCCAGGAGACGCGTGACAGTAGGACTGGTCGTACGTAGAGAGTCAGACTCAGGGTCAGCAAGAGTAGGAAGAGAGGAGTCTGGAGGAGATGACAACGGGACACGCAGAGGAGCAGTGGAAGGACGCAGCGCCATCTGGTGTGTGCCGGGGACCGCAGGAGGACGCGGACGCGGAGCACGACCATTAGTGCGAGCAGCACGAACAGGCGACGATGGACGAGACGCAGGCTCACGACGCTCAGCAAGACCTCCAGTAGGACCAGTGTAGGGAGAAGGAGCACGCAGGGGGGAGGCGGGTTGTAACTGTGACTCAGACTGGACAGGTTGTGGACACGCTAAGGGAGGAGCAGGACCAGTAGAGGGCGGGACACCAAGAACTTGCTCAAGCAGCGAAACCAAGTACGGCCGTGGCCGCGCAGCGCCTCCAGAACCAGCAGGGACAGCACTAGTACCCCCAGCGGCAGCACCAGCGCCAGCAGCACCTCCAGCTCCAACAGCGCCAACACCAGCACCCTCAGAAGCAACAGCGCCAGCAGAACCACCAGCGCCAACACCCCCAGCAGCTCCAGCTCCAGCAGCTCCAGTAGCACCAACTCCAGCAGGGCCGTCAGCTCCAGCACCGCCACCAGCTCCAGCAGCACCTCCAGCAGGACTCCGAGTCCCAGCAGCTCCAGAACCGCCAGGATGAGCACGTGCAGGACCAGCAGCAACAGTAGTAACTCCACCTCCAGCAGCACGGCCCCATCGCCGGGCAAACCACTCACGCAGCTCCTGCGGAGAGAGTAGCTCCCGCCTCGACGAAGCACCGCCAGAGGCCACACGAGCAGGCCCAGCACCCCCACGCTCCGCACCTCCAGGCTCCGAACCCCCAGGCTCAGCACCCCCAGGCTCCGCACCCTAAGGCTCAGCACCCCCAGACTCAGCAACCCCAGGCTGAGCACCCCCAGACTCAGCACCCCCAGGCTCAGCACCCCTAGACTCAGCACCCCCAAGCTCCACACCCCCAGACCTGGCACTCGCAGGCTCAGCGCCCCTAGCAGCACGAGAGTCAATAGCTACCTCGACAGGCTCAATTGCGTCTACCTGGGACACACCTGGCGGGGCAGGACCCTGAGGGGGGAGGGGGTCTACCAGGGGAGGACCTGGCGCAAGGAAGAGCGGCGGCGGGGGGAGGGGGGCAGTGCGGTAGGGGAAAAGACGGTAGTAAGGCACCGACTCGTGAAAGATGACGTCCAGGGAGGACAGAACACGTCGCGAGGTGGGGTAGTAAAACTGCCAACCAGGCGCGTCAGGGGGGAAGCCAAGGAAGACGCAGGGAACAGCACGGGGGGACAGCTTGTCCGCAGACAAGTCGCGGACAAACGCCCGAGGTCCCCAGACCCGAAACGCAGACGCATCGCCTACCTTCCCCGTCCACCGCAAGGTGGGGGAGGTCTCTGGCAAGGAGACCCGAGGCTGAAGGTTGAGCTGATGCGCTGCGTACTGAACCGCAAACGGCCACAGAAAATGGGGAGCAGCCGCATAGATCATGGACGTACGAGCGACGTCCATGACCATGCCAATGCGGCGCTCAGCAATCCCATTTTGCTGTGGAGAGGCCGGAAGCATGAAGGTCTGGCGGATGCCCTGTGCACGACAGAAGGCTCTTAGACGGGCAGAGGAAAACTCGCTGCCTCTGTCAGAGTGCAGACGCAGAACAGGAAAGTCCGAGTCGAAACTCTCTCTGAGCTGGAGACGAGCTGCGCGGATCCAGTCGATCAGCACCTCAGTTACGTCGCCCTTGCTGCGCAAGGGGAACACCGTGCTGTAACGCGAGTAGCCGTCAACCACCAACAGGAAGTAACGCTCGTGACCCTGGCCACGGACGCGGGCGGGGCCCCACACGTCCATGTGAAGAGTCTGCAAGGGAGCCTCTGTCGAAGGAAACTCGGAGGAGTGAGGGGCGGCGCGCTGCCGCCCCTCGACGCAGGTAGGGGCAGGCGCCGGAGGTAGGGGAGGGAGGGACCGTGTGAGACAAGAGACAAGGACACGCGAGGCCATGCCTCGGAGACGAGGTAGGGAGGGGTGACCAAGGCGGTGGTGCCAAAGGAGAGTCTGGTGGGACAGGAGACGACACGAGCAGGGCGCAGACTCAGGACCAGACCTGGATGCTGTAGCAAACACCTGACTCGACGCAGCTACCTAGCCTGACTTAGCAACAGGAGGAGACTCAGTGGTCAGTGTGTACAGGCTCGACCCCGACTGACGGGTAAACGTGGTCAAGTGTCGGCCCGTCCGAGCACACGTACAGTGGGTCACCCGCTGACTCGGAGGCGTGAGCTGGTCAACCCCCCGATCCTGTAGATCAGCTCCACTCAACAAGTTCGTAGAGAACGAGGGGAGGTAGAGACCTGAGAGGGTGCCAGAGGGGGCTGCCGGACACGGTAAGACAGTGGAGAAGCTAGGAAGGACAAGACCCCCAGAGGGGTCCGCCCGGGAAACCGCAACCGGCCGACTAAGCGGCGTAAGCGTGGTCCTCTCAAGAGAGTCCGTCTGCCCTACATGGTATAGAGCAGGTTCCCTAGTGGGAACGTTTCCTACTGAAATTTGTTTCCTGCCTGGAGCGTGCTTCCCTCCTGCCTGAGTCGCACCCCGTGTGCCCTCCCTACCGTCGCGTCCCTAGCCCTTAGCAGACCGTCGCGCCCTCCTCAGGCCCCTAGCGGCCCCTTTCGCGGCCCCTCACGGCCCCTCTCACGGCCCCGTCGTCGCCCCTCTAGGCCCGTAGCGGCCCCTTTGCGGCCCCGTTGCCGCCCCTAGCGGCCCCGTCGCCGCCCCTGTAGGCCCCTCGCGGCCCCCTTCGCGGCCTCGTCGCCGCCCCTCTAGGCCTCTCGCGGCCCTTTCACGGCCCCGTTGCCGCCTCTCTAGGCCCCGTCGCTGCCTCTCCAGGCCCCTAGTGGCCCCTTCACGGCCCCGTCGCCACCCCTTGCGGCCCCGTAGCTGCCCCTTGGGGCCCTGTCGTCGCCTCCTCTAAGCCCCTTACGGCCCCACTGCGACCCGGTCACCGCCCCTAGCGGCCCCGTCGCCGCCCCTGGAGGCCAAGTCGCCGCCCCTTAGCGGCCACCTCGTCGCCCTTACCGGCCCCGTCGCCGCCCTAACGGCTCTGTCGCCGACCTTAACGGCCCCGTAGCCGCCCCTAGCGGCCCCGTCGCCGCTCTTCACGGCCCCGTCGCCGCCCCTAGCGGCCCCGTCGCCGCCCTTCACGGCCCCGTCGCCGCCTCTACCGGCCCCTTCACCGCTGCACTGCCCAGCAGCTGAGCAGCAGAGCCACCACGTCGCCAGCAGCCCAGCAGCCGAGGCGCCCGAGAGCCAAGCCGCCGAGCCGCCCAGCAGCCGAGCCGCCCCTTCGCCGAGCCGCTGAGCCGCCGTGCCGCCCAGCAGCCGAGCCGCTGAGCCGCCCAGCAGCCGAGCCGCCCAGTAGCCGAGTAGTCAGTGTTCCTTCTGGCGCGCCCCGGCCCTACTTCCTTGGACTGGTGAGCTCACTCCCTGCTAGACCACTGCAGTCATGGCAACCCCCAATGTCCTTACCTTTGATACTGAGGGTCGTGCTGTTGACTTTGAGGTCTGGGTCGATGACCTCCAGCTGTTCCTACAGTGCAATAGGGCAAACAGACTCTCCCTGTTCGATCTCACCTCTGGTGTCTCTCCTGCCCCGCCTGCTACTGCTGATAGCACTGTTCGCTCACAGTGGGCCACACGCGATGCTGCTGCCCGTCTTGTTGTGCGTCGCCACTTACCGACCACTGAGTGCTAAGACCTTGTACGATGCTATAGTTACACGCTACTCTTCCCCTGCCACTGCTGCGCTTAGCCGTCTCATGCTACCGTACCTGTTCCCTGACCTTGCTGCCATTCCCACAGTTGCTGACCTCATTACGCACCTTCGCACTAGTGACACTCGCTACCGCGCTGCACTTCCTGCTGAGTTCTGTGCCAAGAACCCCCCCCCCCATGTACATCACCCTCTACTACATAGTCACCCAGCTCCCTTACTCCCTTCGCTTATTCAGGGACCACTTCCTCTCAGTTTGCCCCACCACACTCACTGTTGACCTCCTCGAGGAATGCCTCCTAGCAGCAGAGAAGAGCATAGTCGCTGTAGGAGCCTCTCGTGGTGACCCTCGCACCCCCGTCTTTAAGGGGTGTTCTCCCTCCCCCCTCTTGCCCTCTGTTGCTTCTGCTGCTGCGGCCAACCTTGTTGGCTTCGAGTCGGTCGGCGCTGCGTCTGCCCCTAGCGGGAGACGCCGCACGAGCAAGGGCAAAGGTGGCAAGGGCGTTGGAGGGGCTGGCGGGGGCGGTGGAGGTGGTGGTGGAGGCAGTGGAGGGGGTGGGGGTGGTGGTGGGAGTGGTGGCAGGGGTGAAGGTATCGGCGGCAGCAGTGGAGGCGGAGGAGGCGGCGGTGGTGGCGGAGGGAGCGGAGGCGGCGGAGGTGGCGGAGGCGGCGGAGGCACTGGTGGAGCTGGTCGCGGCTCTGCGCAGAGGAGTGGCTCCGGTGGTGGTCCGCGCCAGCAGCAGCGGCGCGGTCGTGAGACCCTGTCCCCTCAGCAGCTTCGTGAGTGGTACGCTGGGCGTCAGCGGGGTGGGGGTACTGGTCCCTGCACCTACGTCCTCCATACAGGCGACCGCGCTGATGAGTAGTGCGGGGGCACGCACTCCACCCAGTGCTGCTTTGGCCGCCTGACGGACACTTGGCGTCATCAGTTCCCTGACGCCACTGAGATCCCTCGCTGGGGAGAGCTGTCTAGGGCGGGGGTTGCTATCTTTGATCTTGACTATGATGCTATTCTTGCTGCCATGTATGCTGTGTCTGCTAGTGATCAGGGTGACTGTTACCTGTGTGTTCCGCCTGACCCGGGCATTGAGGCTGCTGCTCTAGGTGCTAGTGAGACTGCTGCTCCAGGTGCTAGTACGTTTGCTGCCCCAGGTGCTGGTGAGTCTGCTCTCTTAGGTACCGCGTCGGCTCAGGCCTTGCACACCTTCAACCTTGACTCGGGTGCTTCCCGCTCCTTCTTTCGAGACCGCACCACGCTTACGCCGCTAAGCCGGCGGTTGCGGTTTCGCTGGCGGACCCCTCTGGGGGCCCTGTCCTTGCTAGCTTCTCCACTGTCTTACCGTGTCCGGCAGCCCCCTCTGGCACCCTGTCAGGTCTCTACCTCCCCTCGTTGTCTACGAACTTGGTGAGTGAAGCTGATCTACAGGATCGGGGGGTTGACCAGTTCACGCCTGCGAGTCAGCGGGTGACCCACTGTACGTGTGCTCGGACGGGCCGACACTTGGCAACGTTTACCCGTCAGCCCGGGTCGAGCTTGTACACACTGACCAGTGAGTCTCCTCCTGTTGCTACGTCTGGTTAGGTAGCAGCGTCGAGTCAGGTGTTTGCTGCTGCGTCCAGGTCTGGTCCTGAGTCTGCGCCCTGCTCGTGTCGTCTCCTGTCCCACCAGACTCTCCTTTGGCACCACCACCTTGGTCACCCCTCCCTGCCTCGTCTCCGAGGCATGGCCTCCCGTGTCCTTGTCTCTGGTCTCCCCCGGTCCCTCCCTCCCCTACCTCCGGGGCCTGCCCCTACCTGCGTCCCCTGCGTCGAGGGACGGCAGCGCGCCGCCCCTCACTCCTACGAGTTTCCTCCGACAGAGGCTCCCCTGTAGACTCTTCACATGGACGTGTGGGGCCCCGCCCGCGTCCGTGGCTAGGGTCATGAGCGTTACTTCCTGCTGGTGGTTGACGACTGCTCGCGTTACACCACGGTATTCCCCTTGCGCAGCAACGTCACTGAGGTGTTGATCGACTGGATCCGCGGTGCTCGTCTCCGGCTCAGAGAGAGTTTCGGCTCGGACTTTCCTGTTCTGCATCTGCACTCTGACAGAGGCGGAGAGTTTTCCTCTGCCCGTCTAGGAGCCTTCTATCGTGCACAGGGCATCCGCCACACCTTCACGCTTCCGGCCTCTCCACAGCAAAATGGGATTGCTGAGCGCCGCATTGGCATGGTCATGGACGTCGCTCGTACGTCCATGATCCATGCGGCTGCTCCCCATTTTCTGTGGCCGTTTGCGGTTCAGTACACGTCGCATCAGCTCAACCTTCAGCCCCGGGTCTCCTTGCCAGAGACCTCCCCCACCTTGCGGTGGACGGGGAAGGTTGGCGATGCGTCTGCGTTTCGGGTCTGGGGATCTCGGGCGTTTGTCTGCGACTTGTCTGCGGACAAGCTGCCCCCCCGTGCTGTTCCCTGCGTCTTCCTTGGCTTCCCCCCTGACGCGCCTGGTTGGCAGTTCTACCACCCCACCTCGCGCCGTGTCCTTTCCTCCCAGGACGTCACCTTTGATGAGTCGGTGCCTTACTACCGTCTCTTCCCCAACCGCACTGCGCCCCTCCCCCCGCCGCCGCTCTTCCTTGCGCCAGGTCCTCCCCCGGTAGACCCCCTCCCCCCTCAGGGTCCTGCCCCGTCAGGTGTGTCCTAGGTAGACGGAGTTGAGCCTGTCGAGGTAGCTGTTGACTCTGGTGCTGCTAGGGGCGCTGTGCCTGCGGGTGCCGGGTCTAGGGGAGCGGAGCCTGGGGGTGCTGAGTCTCGGGGTGCTGAGCCTGGGGGTGCTGAGCCTGGGGGTACTGCGTCTGGGAAAACTGAGCCTGGGGGTGCTGAGCCTGGTGGTGCGGAGCTTGGGGGTGCTAAGCCTGGGGGTGCGGAGCCTGGGGGTGCTGAGCCTGGGGGTGCGGAGCCTGGGGTTGCTGGGTCTACTCGTGTGGCCTCTAGCGGTGCTTCGTTGAGGCGGGAGCTACTCTCTCCGTAGGAGCTGCGCGAGTGGTTTTCCCGGCGCTGGAGCCGTGCTGCTTGAGCTGGAGGTACTACTGTTGCTACTGGACCTGGAGGTGCTCGTCCTGGCGGTTCTGGAGCTGTTGAGACAGGGAGTCCTGCTGGAGGTGCTGCTGGAGCCACTGGAGCTGGAGCTGCTGGGGGTGTTGGCGCTGGTGGTTCTGCTGACGCTGGTGCTTCTGAGGGTACTGGAGTTGGCGCTGGTGCTTCTGAGGGTGCTGGAGTTGGCGCTGTTAGAGCTGGAGGTACTGCTGGTGCTGGTGCTGCCACTTGGGGTACTCGTGCTGTCCCTGCTGGTTCTGGAGGCGATGCGCGGCCGAGGCCATACTTCGTTCCGCTCCTTGAGCAGGTTCTTGGTCACCCGCCCTCTACTGGTCCTACTCCTCCCTTAGCGTGTCCACAACCTGTCCAGTCACGGTCACAGTTACAGCCCGCCCCCCCCCTGCCTGCTCCTTCTCCCTACACTGGTCCTACTGGAGGTCTTGCTGAGCGTCGTGAGCTTGCGTCTCGTCCTGCGTCTCCTGTTCGTGTTGCTTGCACTAGTGGTCATGCTCCGCGTCCGCGTCCTCCTGCGGTCCCCGGCACACACCAGATGGCACTGCGTCCTTCCACTACTCCTCTGCGTGTCCCGTTGCCGTCTCCTCCAGAGTCCTCTCTTCCTACTCTTGTTGACCCTGAGTCTGAATCTCTTCATGCTGCCAGCCCTACTGTCATGCGTCTCCTGGCTACTGTTGTCACTGACCCTTCTTTTGAGTCCACTGCTGCGTCTGCCTTAGTTGCTGAGCTTGTCGACTTTGCTGCTCGCTGTCGTCTAGACTACGCTGCTAGTCTTGTTGCTGAGTCTGAGTCTGTCTATCCTCCGTCCGTCGGGTGTGAGTGTGCTCTTAGTACGGACGTCCTTGAGGACACACAGGAGGAGTTCCAGTGCTTTACTGCTGCTTTGCCTCATCTCGTGTCCACACTAATTGCCCCTGAGGGAGACCCAGATGCACCAGACATCCCGACTCCTCGATCGTACGCTGAGGCGATCGAGGGTCCCTACTCCTCAGAGTGGCAGTCAGCCATGGACGCCGTGAAAAGGTATGCTCCTTTATACACTCCTTAGTTTTTTCCCCAGCTCCGTAGGCACCGGTACCACTTCTTTGTGTGAGAAATGAGGAATGAATGCATTGAGCAGCATGAGGAGTACAAGTGGGAAACCCTATAGTGTTGTACCCTATATGAGCTACCCCACTACAGCCTACACAGACTATAGGATGTAAGTTTGACACACCCCCATAGGCAAAGTGGGGGTGAATAAGAGGTCACAAGACCAGTCAAGAGAAGCAAAGCAAGCTCAAGGTGGATCACGACGTCACCACACATTCCGAGCACAAGCAAGCGGCCACAAGGCCAGTTCACATGCAAGATTGTAGATCAAGGAGAACAAATAAGACAGTGATCACAACCTAGCAAGTGTAAGCAGGCAGGCATATATAGAGATCACAGTACATGCAAAGTCAAGAAGTGAGCAAGTGAGGCAAAGTGGGAACAAGCCCTAAAACAATGCAAAATTGCTGATGATCACAAGGCTGAAGCGCCTTGGTGAAGATATCAGCAGTGTTGGCCTGAGAGGCCACACAAACAAGACGAAGATGACCACGCTGTTGCAACTCTCGAGCAAGGAAGTAGCGAAGTGCGATGTGCTTCGTTTTGTGCTCCAGTCTCTGCGCGCGACACAAGGCAAGCATTGCCTTGTTGTCCACGTACAGAACTGGAGGAGAACGAGGCGCCTCGCCCAGGTCGGTCAGCAGGTAGGTGAGCCAACGCAGCTCCTATGCAACCGTGCCCCCTGCGTAGATCTCAGCCTCACAATTGGACCCCGTCCTCCAAGCACAAGCCCCATGCCTGACGTACTGCACAAGTAGCGCATCACCCTCATAGCTGCCTTCCAGTGCTATGGACGGTGTCTCCTAGGCGCAACGTAGCGTGCCACGATGCTAAGAGGGTGAGCAAGTTCAGGACGAGTGCAGGTCATCAGGTACATGAGGCAGCCCACAAGCTCTGGATACGGGCCACTTGGCTCTACGGACTCATCCAAAGGCAGAGCTGAGAGCGAGTGACTGGTAGGCAGAGGAGTGGACTGTGGCGAGGAGTACTGGAAGTTGAAGCATTGAAGGACCTGCTGCACCATGTGTGACTGAGTCAGGGTGATGGTGCGGCGTGCTCTGTCCCGAGTGATCTGCAAGCCAAGATATCTGCGCAGTTCATCCAGGTTTGTGCAAGTGTGTCTCTTCTACTGCTCGGAATTCACTAGAGTTAGTGCCTCAGTGTCAGCAGTAGCAAAAACCAAGTCGTCGACGTACACGAGGATGTAGAATGGCGGCAGCGAAGTGTCGGTGCGTAGAAACAGCGACGGGTCAGTAGTAGATGGAGCAAACCCAAGTGCCGCCAGTGTAGTTCTCAGTGTGTCGTGCCACTCACGGGGTGCCTAGCGGAGACCGTAGACAGGCCGCCGGAGGCTCCACTGGGTACTAGGAGGAAACGACCCAGTGAAGCCAGGTGGGCGGCGCAGCCAGATCTCCTCATGCTGGTTGCCCTGTAGAAAGGCTGTGCTGAAGTCAAGAGAGTGAAGCTCGTGATCACGGTGAGCAGCGACGTGCAGTAGTACCTGAAGAGTGGTCATCTTCGGGGTGGGAGAGAAGGTTTGAAAGTAGTCAACTCCCTGTCGCTGACTGAAGCCTCGAGCCACGTAACGCGCATTGAAGACAGGCGGAGAACTCGGCGGCCGCTTCACCCTGAAAATCCACATGCCACTCACGATTTTCGCCCTAGGTGGGAGAACCTCATTGACGTAGGTGCCTGTGGACTTCCAGGAAGCCATCTCTGCGTCCATGGCTGCCTGCCACTGAGAGGAGTAGGGACCCTCAACCGCCTCCGCGTAAGAGCGCGGTGTCGGTGTGTCTAGTGCATCCGGGTCTCCCTCAGGGGGAAGCACCATGGACACGAGATGAGGTGAAACAGCAGCCAAACACTGGAACTCCTCCTGCGTGTCCTCAAGGACGTCCGTGCCAAGGGCACACTCACTCCGGACGAACGGAGGACAGACAGACTCAGACTCAGCAACAAGACTAGCAGCGTAGTCTAGACGACAGCGAGCAGCAAAGTCGACAAGCTCAGCAACCAGAGCAGACGCAGCAGCAGACTCAAAGGAAGGGTCAGTGACAACTGTGGCAAGGAGACGCGTGACAGTAGGACTAGCAGCACAAAGGGAGTCAGACTTCGGGTTAGCAAGGGCAAGAAGAGAGGACTCAGGAGGAGACGGCAGAGGGACACGCTGCGGAGTAGTGGAAGGACGCAGAGTCATCTAGTACGTGCCAAGGACCGAGGGAGGATACTGACGCGAACCATGACTACTAGTGCGAGCAGCACAGACAGGCGACTCTCGACGAGACGCAGGCTCACGACGCTCAGCAAGACCTCCAGTTGGACCTGTGTAAGGAGACGGAGAAGGCAGTGGAGAGGCAGGCTGTAGCTGTGACGACGACTGGACAACCGGTGGACATGCTAAGGAGGGGGCAGGGCCAGGAGAAGACGGAAGACCAAGAACCCACTCAAGGAGCGGAACAAAGTACGGCCGCGGCCGCTCAGCACCCCTAGAACCAGCAGGAACGGCACCAGCAACCCCAGCGCCAGCTCCAACTCCAACAGCACCACCAGCAGCTCCAGCAGCTCCTCCAGTAGCTCTAGCACTAGCGGCAGCTCCAACTCCAGCAGCACCAGCAGCAGCTCCAGTATGAGTACCTCCGGGACCAGTGGCTCCAGAACCCCCAACAGCACGACTCCAGTGCCGAGCAAACCACTCGCGTAGCTGCTGAGGGGAGAGCGGCTCTCGACGGGACGCAACACCTGAAGGACCGCTAGGCAAAGCGCCTCTAGACTCCACACACGCAGGCTCAGCACCCTCAGGCTCAGCACCCTCAGGTTCTGCACCTCCAGACTCAGCAACCCCAGGCACAACACTCCCACACTCAGCAACCCCAGGCTCAGCACCCCCAGACTCAGCACGTCCAAACTCCTCACGCCCAGGCTCAGCACCTCCAAGCTCCGCACCCCCAGGCTCCGCACCCCCAAGCTTAGTACCCCCAGGCTCCGCACCCCCAGAAGCAGCACCCCGAGCACGACCACCCCCAGCAGGACCTGAGTCACCAGTGACCTCAACCAGCGCAGGCAAGGGAGAAGGGTCTACCTGAGACACACCTGAAGGAGCAGGACTGCGAGCGGGGAGGGGGTCTACTTGGGGAGGACCTGGAGCGAGGAAGAGCGGCGGGGGGTGGGGGAGGGGCAGTGCGGTAGGGGAAGAGACGGTAAAAGGGAACCGACTCGTCGAACGTGGCGTCCTGAGAGGCAAAGACACGGCGCAAGGTGGGGTGGTAAATCTGCCAACCAGGCGCGTCAGGGACAAAGCCAAGGAAGACACAGGGAACAGCGCGGGCGGGGAGCTTGTCTGCAGTGGTATCGCGGACAAAGGCACGAGAACCCCAGACCCAGAACACGGACGCATCGCCTACCTCCCCCATCCACCGCAGTATGGGCGAGGTCTTTAGCAAGGAGACACGGGGTCAGAGGTTGAGCTGATGCGCGGCGTAGCGGACCGCAAACGGCCACAGAAAATTGGGGGCAGCCGCATGGACCATGGAGGTACGAGCAACCTCCATGACCAAGCCAATGCGGCACTCAGCAACCCCATTTTTCTGAGGAGAGGCCGGAAGCGTGAACTTCTGGCGAATGCCCTCCCCACGACAAAAGCTCTGCAGAAGGTCAGAGGAAAACTCCCCACCTCTGTCAGAGTGCAGACGCAGAATGGGAAACTCCGTCCCGAACCGCTCGCGGAGCTGGAGACGGGCAATGCGGATCCAAGGGATCAAAACATCAGGGACCTCACCCTTGGTGCGCAAGGGGAAGACCGTGGTGTAACGCGAGTAGTCGTCAACAACCAGCAGGAAGTACCGCTCCTGGTCTTGTCCAGTGACACGGGCTGGGCCCCACACGTCCAAGTGCAGGGTTTGCAGGGGAGCAGTCGGGGGGGGGGAACCGAGGAGGAGTGAGGAGCGGCGCGCTGCCGCCCCTCGACACAGGGAAGACAGGGAGGAGCAGGCGAGGGTGGGAGGGGAGGGAGAACCCTGGGAAGACCAGAGACAAGGACACGGCGGTGCATGCTACGAATGTGAGAGTATGACGGCTTATGCCAGCTATGCTTGCTTGCCTTTACTTTATTATGCTATTTCTAGCATAGGATAATTATATGCATGCATGAACTGCTTGATTTCCTTGGCTAGGTGCTTTTCTTTATTTTATTATAGTTATAGCACCGAGCTAGGTTGCGTGCATCGAATTCTGGCTTTTCGGTTGCCACCGAATTGCCTCCTACTGAATTCGGGAAGGATCTGTTCGGGACGCTTCGCGACCCGCGGAACCTTCGCGTAACACCTGGTTACGGGGCCTTGTGTCGAGCCTATATATAGCCTCGTGTTGTACCCAGGTGATTCATTCAATTCGATCCAATTCACATTCTCTTTTCTGAGGTCGATCCTAGATCCTCACACTTGGTAATAAGAGCCCGTTTACACGTGAAGTTCTTTCGACCGCTACAAACCAGTCTTAAAAAAACCGCAAGGGCGACACAATTAAACATCGATTTCGGGTACGTAAAACCGGTTCCGTGTTTTTCGCTCCCCCTCGATTCGGTTTTTCGGACGCGTTGATGTCAGGCATGGAAGGCCAAGGCGACAACTACGCGACCACGAGCGACATCGCGAGCCTCTGCACCGACATGGAGCAGACGCAGGCGACGCTTCGTCGACTCGAGGCTTTTCTGACAAGCCAACCAGGGTTCGCCACCGCAGCAGCAGTGACCGCAGCGACTGCAGCACCGACAACTCCAGCAGCAGTGGCGACACCGACATTTCACGGACCGATGGCACCACTGTCGCCGAACCTCGAAGCAGCACGACCGAGGCTCCCTGAGGCGTTCGATCCAAGCGCGAAGGGATCCGACGTCCGGCGATATATGGCCACCCTCGAAATTTACTTCGAGGCCATTGGCTGTTCGACCCCGCAACACGA